TAAAACTATTTATGATCAATTTTTAAAATTATCCAGTATAATATTACCTTGCGCACATCCATTTCGGGCCCATCCTTGGTAACTAACAAATCAAAGCTCAGAATAACAAATCACTTCAGCAGTGCAGTAAGAACGACACTTTAAAACCCTCTTGTTACACTCAATTTGCGCTTTTGTTTTCATCTATTGTTTTCATATTTTGTAATCTGGCAATCTTTCTGCGAAAAAATTTTTAAATCGTTCTTGAAAAATTTTCTGTCCATGTAAGTTGATCTGATTTTGCTAAATTTATAAATCCAAAACAATACATGGGAACTATAAATTTTCTACCACTTTCAATGTAAGAATAAAAGTTTATGTAAAATGCATAAAACTTGGCAGTTATGAATATATTTGCCATTAGAATTACAAATGTAACGAAAATAAATGGAAAATCAATGATAACCAAAATTTGAATGCATAGTACCTCATCAATTACATTCAGTTATAGAGGATGTCATTTGATGTTTTCTGTGAACAAAGTATTAAATTGTCATATAGAAAATTAAATTAATTTGGAATATCGCTTTATTTATTTTTTTAAAAAATTTGATTTTCAGAGTTTGCTGACAGAAGTAGAATAAAAAATAATGTTAGCTCTATTATCTGAATATTTTAATTGAAATATATCTGGTGCCAGTTACTTCAGAAAATTAAGGTCCTACTGTATATAGTTTAGTATTCTTTGCTAAAAAGAACATCATAAAAATGACATTACTCACAAGGGAATTTAACTTCTCGGATACAATAGGACTAACTTTTCATGGATACAATAGGAATCTTCTATGTTGCTGCAAAATTTTCGTAAACACTTATTTTCCAACATGTAAAAGACATTTCTGAAGTTTAAAAAACTTTTAACGGATTCGAAAGATTTCAATTGCATTTTTATAAAATGTTCAAATATTTAGAGATGCCCAATATATTTTAATTTATTTCATCAATTTATTGTTCTATAAAAGACATTATGTATATTGTTAAAACTAGTCTGACTGACTTTGAAAATAGCTTTTCATTTTGTTTAGGTGGTTGATCCATGGGGCTGTGTGATTGCATGCTGTAGTGAAGGGGTAGGAATAGCTTTTGCTGAGATTAATATGAGCTATCTCAAAAACATTCGTCGAGATATGCCTATCTGGAAACATAGACGCAGTGAGCTGTATGGGAGTCTCATACTACCTGAAATCTCAGATGGTAAGCTACATTTATAGGCTATTTTAATTATGCTATGTTAAATTTTACAATCGAAATTTCCATAAATGTGCGGTTAGCAAAAGAAAAATTATTATTATTACACTGACGAGCGAAAAAAACTGGTACAGGCATGAGTATGCAAATAAAGGGGTATGAAGCCAATAAAAATACAACGATGCAATCGGCAATGCGTATATAAGACAACGAGTGTCTAGCACAGTTCTTAGATCGGTTACCGCTGCTACAATTCCAGGTTATACAGATTTAAGTGAGTTTGAACGTGGTGTTATAGTCTTCTATGTTGCTGCAATGCGTATATAAGACAACGAGTGTCTAGCACAGTTCTTAGATCGGTTACCGCTGCTACAATTCCAGGTTATACAGATTTAAGTGAGTTTGAACGTGGTGTTATAGTCGTCGCACGGAAGATCGGACATAGCATCTCCGAGATAGCAATGAAATTTGGATTTTCACGTACAACTATTTCACGAGTATACCGTGAGTATCGTAAATCGACCAAAATCCCCAGACATGAACATATTTGGGATGCCTTGCAACGTGATGTTCAGAAGATATCCCCACCCCCTTTTACTCCCTCTGGTTTATAGACAGCCCTGCAGGATTCATGGTGTCAATTATCTTCAGCAATACTTCACACATTGATTGAATCGTGTTGCGGCACTTCTGCGTGCTCGTGGGGTCCCTACACAATATTGGGCAGGTATACCAGTTTTTTTGGCTCTATTTATTGACTATTAGGTCATTAGGCTTCTAGCTCTCCAAAACTTCTTAACAATACAGTCAAAGTTTTTAGTGCAGTGTTTGTGTCCAAATGCTCAGCAGTCGTGGCTTGTCCAGAGTTACATGAAAGACAATCTGATGAAGCTTGAGGCGAAATAAATGAGAACATAGACAATCTTGTCCTGTCAAAAGTCTAAACATGGCTACCGCAGTAGAATGGGGTGAATCCAGAGCACAGTGAGTTCCACAGAGCACATTCCAGGACTCATCTCTAGCACTGTGAGATGCCAAACAGTGAACGATTGTTTGAAGCAAATAGTTAGCAAAAGAAAAAATATTGCACCTTAATAACATTTGTTTATCTAGTCGAGTCTTTCCGTTTGATTTTCACATACGAAAATGTTAGAATTTGCGAAGCTAACCTTAAATTTATCAGCTAATGTGTGGAAGGAAAGACAGGGGTCGCATTCTCCCTAAAATTCATAAAATTCCTAAAAGTATGTGCAAACCCTAAAATTCCTAAAAATCTGATAAAATTTTGTTGGTGTTCCTAAAAAATTAGAGTTATAGGCTAAATATAAATAAAAAAGCAATAATCTAAAATATAAGAATTTAACTACATTATTTAAAACTGTTTNAGTGAATCCAGAGCACCGTGAGTTCCACAGAGCACATTCCAGGACTCATCTCTAGCACTGTGAGATGCCAAACAGTAGACGATTGTTTGAAGCAAATAGTTAGCAAAAGAAAAAATATTGCACCTTAATAACTTTTGTTTATCTAGTCGAGTCTTTCCGTTTGATTTTCACTACGATAGAATTTGCGAGGCTAACCTTAAATTTATCAGCTAATGTGTGGAAGGAAAGATAACTAATGTGATTTTAAAAGAAAATATATATAACAGTCACTATTGCTGAAAGTTGACATTTTCCAATGATATGAGAAATTATGATAGAATGCTGATGAGTAAGAAAGTAGTTGATAAGTAAGTAAGCAATTTTGTGAAGAATATTGATAATTAAGAAATATATTGGATAACTATTAAAGCTTCTATGTGCTTCTTGATATTCTTAATATAATGTGAACAGTTATAAATTTTGGTGGTTCACAGTACCATAATATCTTTACATTTCTTATTATTCCTTGACTTATTTCCATTATCTTCTTATCTTAGTATATTTTGTTATGTGTTATCTTGATAATTAGGATAATATTACAAAATACTGTGCTAATTATATTACACAATTTATTGTATTTTTGTGTTGCTTCAGTTTTAGTAAATTGTATTTTTCTAAGAAAGATATTTGTTTGTCTTTGTGTGCAATTTTCTTTAAGTCTTCAATCTGATGAAATGATATTTAAAGCTAATAATTCACTCTAGGCTTATAAAAATATTTATTTATAGTTATGAAGTTGAAAGAGATGATAGTATCAACACTGCTCAATGTTTTTACCAAATTTTGTTGATCATGTTTGTTAATAGTAGCACACATGTAGAAAATAGTTTTAAAGTATTATCTTTTAAAATTTTATTCTATGTAATTTTGAATATCTAAATATTATAAGAAATAATATTTAGCTATCACTTAGATTTTAATCAATTTAAAGCTTCAGTCACGTGTTTTAATTGAGTGAAAATCTTATCAAAAGAAATCGAAACTGTATATCTTTTTAAAAAAAAGATAAATACCTGGAAAGTCTAGCAACTGATTCGATAGTTTAAATCTACAAAATATATGCAAGATTAAATAGGTAATAGCCAACTTAGTAAAAATATTACCAATTCTACTTATCAGAACTAACTTTGTTGCCAATGTATTTTTATACATTTCTTTTTATATTTTCTTAGGATCTGATTCTTCATATACATTTGCCAATATCAAGCTTAGACCAGAACACATATTTTACAAAACTAAGCATAGTATAGCTATTGTTAATAAAGGACCTCTTTTACCAGGACGTATCCTTTTTGTGTTGTTGTAAAATACAATATTTTTGTGGTTTTTAAAAGCTACTATGTTTAACGTGTATTTTCTCCCAACAACCAAGAAATAAATTGCAAATGTAATAAAGTACATAATTACATTTTGAAAAAAATAATGTAACTATTATTTTAAGTTTTTAGAGTAAGCAATTACTTCTATTTCTTATTCAGCTTCTTTATGCTATGTTTAGCTATGTTTTGGGAGATTTAGTAATCATTCAAAAAATATTACAGAATTAATAAAATTATTTTTAAGTCACTAAAAAATTTAAAAAAAAATTTTTTTTCTTAGATTGGTTAGAAAAAAAGAAATTAAATATTATAATGACCTAATTAAATATATTTAATACTTTTGTGTAGTAACAACTTTTTATAATATAATCATTTGTAATCATATTTTTTTGTAATATACAGCTATATTACTATAATGAAATATTGTATCGATTAGTGCTTTATAATTTCTTAAATGGAGAGGAGTGTGGTGCTGTAGCAAACACAGAGCTGATTTACCTAGTGAATCTGCTTCCATTTTTACCAGGAATCCTGACATGTCTTGGGATCCATTGGATAGCATTCATTTTCTAATTTTCAATAAGATTGGTAATAGCTTCTTTACACAGAATCTCTTTAGAAAAGAAAGTATTTCCTATTTTCCAATTAAAAAACAAACAAGGAGTACAATTTTTTTTAAAGACTCATTAGCAAAAAACACTGCAGAAATTTCCCCATCAAAGTTTTCACAAAATACCCCACTGGACTTTTTTAATAGAAAGAACTGACAATAAGCTCCAACACCATTTCTCGAAGTGAGATCAGCTGTCCCATCAGTATAGAGCTAGTCAGGGAATAGATATTTTTCATAGATAGTTGCAAATGATTTTATCTCTGTCTCAGACAAAGACCCTTATTACAAGGGAGAATGAGTTCAAGATTTATCTTAGCTGATTTTAAGAGTGTCAATGAAAAGCTGTCTATCAATAATGGGTAAACCCAAGCCTTTGCTGATTTTAAAAAAGTAGATTGAGATTTTAATCTTTACGAAACAGGTTTATAATTTGTCCAGTAGTGATTATTACTTCTATGCAACTTTTCTATGAGAACCAGAGCCAATTTGTCAGGGCAATCAGGTAGGGGTTTAATAGTGATCCGAAGCTACATTGATTGTATAAGAATCGATTTTTCAGCTCCAGTAATTAAACAAAATGCACAATTTTGTGTGATGTCAACTTTGAATATTATACTTTTGAAAGTGGTAATTATGAGTTCAGAAGGACAATCAAAAATGGGTTTAATATAAGATTTGTAAGCAATGGTGAGAACAATCTGAGATGCACCCCAAGTTACACCAGAATTCCTCTTCAATAACTTCATTTTATTTAAAGCATGCTCTTCTTTTCTCTTTTTGATGTGATTATCAAACTAGTTTAAAGTCCAACACAATACCTATTCAAGTGGTATGTTTTGTTCTCAGTAGAGGTTGGATCTTAAAGTTTTCAATACATTGGAATGTTTTTTGGTCCTTATCGGGCAAAAAGCTGAAATGTAGTTTTTTCAGAATTGACCTGCATTTCATAATCACCTGCCCACTTAACAAGTTTGATCAGTGCCTTATTTAACGGTATTCTAAGTTTCTGAATACCTGAGCATGTTACCCATGGTGCCAAGGTCATTTGCGTAAAATAAAAACATGATCCCCTTTATACTATCAAGCTTCTCTAAACAAAACAAATAAGGACTTACCTTTAAGGACCTGTGGAAGACTATTTCTCGTTTAAAACCAGGTTTTACCTTTCCATAGTTATCTCAGATTTAGTTGCTCCAAACTCCATCAAAGACAGATTTAAAATCTACCAATACAGGCAGCATGCTTTTTTACAGATGGAAATTGCATTTTACTTCTTGCAAGAATCTAATTACTTGTTCTGTGGTGCTTCTAAAGCCAACTTGCCTCTCTGTGATGTTATTATTTTCCTCCAAATAAAGTTTCAACCTATCAACTGCCATTTTCTCAACCACTTTGCTAAAGACAGAAATGTGTGAGATAGGTCTAAAACTTAATTTTTTTATCATTATATACATTATGATTAACTTTAAATCAACTTCTTTGATGAATGCTTTGCATATTTTTTTTTTAAATTTCATATTAAAAATTTAATTTGATTGAAGCTATATTTTTTTCGAAAAATTTAGATTGTCTAAAATTATTTACAAAAATACGCAAGAGAATAACAATCTTAGATAAGTCCCTGTTTTTAATCTGGATTACTGGTTGAGTTCAGATAATTGGAAAATTATGGTAAAAATATATTTCTTCAAAAAATGACTAGAAATATGGTGAAAATATTTTTACTATTTAATTTTTTTTTTACACAGAGTAAAATATTTTTAAATTATCAATTTTCTGAACTAAGATAGATGTTCTGGTAATTCCCATTCGAGTTGCAAAACGGTTGTCTGATTTATTTCCATATGAAGTTGCTGACTTATTTACTTGTGTGCAAATAGTACAAGCAAAAATTGAGGAAGCTTTTAAAACAACTTCATCAACAGTTGCTATTCAGGTCAGTAGCAAATTTATTGCCTCATATACAAATAGATTATAATATCTATTACATCTTTATCATAAGTTTTTGAATTTGGTATATATTAAATATTCAAAATTGCTTTTCAAATACAGGGGAGACACTGTAAACTTTAACGAATTACCCTTATTGTTATACAATTTTGTAGTCAAGATTACTGTCAAGTAATAAAATTCATGGTTTTTAAAAAATTCCATACGATGTGAAAAATAAGTTTTCCCCACAACTACCAAGGGTTATGAAATTTTGTTGTTAGCCGCGAATATTCGAAGTATAAAAATAAATAAATAGACACTTAAATGTTATCTTTAAATTTTATAGTAAATTCATGCATGCATAATATTAATGTTAGCATATGAGCCACGATGGCTCTGGGGATAGAGCGTTCACCTTCTAATTAGGCGAACCGGGTTCCAATCCCAGTCGATACGAATTCCGCAACCGGCTTTCACCAACCACAGTGCTGATGTGAAATATCCTCAGTGGTGGATCATGGGTTAGAGTTCCCTTGCCGTCAGGCAAACCGTGGGAGGTTCTCGTGGTCTTCCTCTCCATGTAACGCAAATGTGGCTTAGTTCCATCAAAAAGTCCTCCACAAAGGCATATTCTCTCAATACCCAGAGGGGAAAAATCCTCTCTAGTGAATTGTATTTCCCCAAAAACAGATTCATAAACACTTGTTTACTGTCATCTCTCAATCAATATTAATTTTCAATTGACATTTCAAGAATCTTTATAAATCCCACTATGAAAAGAGAATAAATTTATTGATAGATTAGACATTTCTAAACTTTTATTTAAAAATGTCTGTTTCATTACATTTTATATTAAAAAAAAGCAACATGATTGCTGTGTTTTGTAGCCATCCTCTTTTCAATAAGCCATGTATGGTACAAATATTGCCGTACTTTGAACCATCATTCCTGCATATGTCCTTATCCCATGTGTATTGCCATGTTTTGAGGGGAATAATATTCTTATTCTTAATATGACATGATATTGATATTCTTAATATATTAGTAATGACCATTCAGATGACTTTTAAAACTAGTTATTACTATATCAATCACTTTGAAATTTTATGATCATTGAAAAAAATGTAGTAATTCCGTTTTGAGAAGAAAACAGCAACTCATTTAATAAGAAAATGAGACTTTATTACACTTTGGGAAAAACGCTTCATTTATTACATTTAATATTTATGCATCAGTTGATGTAAATGTCAAAAAATGGTTGATGAAGCTGAAGAAGTGCAAAGTGATACCCAAGGAGACGGCAAAATGACGCAAAAATCAGTGCCAACATTTGCAAAAGACATTGAAACAATGAAGAACTTTCTGTATTTACACAAAATAAACAACAATCTGTTACAAATGTTGAAAATTAATTGTTTGCATTAAGAAGAAAAAAGTGAGTTCAAACCAAAATTTACAAATATTTTGAATAAATGTGTTTATTTATTTAATCTTTCTTTTAAAAGAAGTACATAATTTTTTTAATCAAAAATTTTTTTATACTTATTAAAAATTTATAGTCTTTTAACTTTATAACTTTTCATACATTTTCAAGTAATAATTTGATATATATGTTCCATATTTTTCGTTCTCTTGCAATCCTCATTTGCAATGAATGGTCCCATATGATCAATCGAGGTTCTACTGTAATTCATATACAACAGCAAGAGTACAATGTATTTCTTGCTGCTTAAAATATTTAGTTCACTATTAAAGAGTATTTCACAAAACTATCCTATTTTTTTTCCCAGGATGGACCCGAGGCTGGCCAAACAATACCTCATGTTCATGTGCATATTGTGCCCAGAAAAGCTGGAGATTTTGAAAAAAATGATGATATTTATAAAAAGGTAAAATTTTATTTAAATTTAGTTGGGTGTTCATATTTCAATTTATAAATTCATAAATATGAAATATTTTTATTATTATTGTTACATTCCTTTGTTTTATTACTTTTAAATAAACATCAAACATTGATACTTAAAGCATTTAACAGTTCGCTGAAATAAATCTAATGAATCATAAACCTAATAAAAATAATATTTCTAAACCTAATAAAAATAATTTATAGATATACTAACAAGCAGAGGACATGACTTAGAAAACTCACTTTGTGATGAAACTTGATAAATTTATAATATTAAAATAATAAAGCTCACAAACCAGTCTATTTCTAGAAAAGCGCCTTTCGAAATTTAAGCATACTTTATATGCTTGTCAAGTCATCACTTCAACAACGACACAGTGGTCTAGTGACAAGGATCTTTGGAGACTGAAAAATTTTTTCTCTCTTATTTTCATTATTGATAATTTTTTCTTTGGTTTACAAACAGTATTAATTTATTTTATTTTTCTAATTGTTGAATATTACGGGACATATAAATTACAGCACTTTTTTACTTCCTTTAATAAATATTTTTCTCTTTTCAAATAGTATTAACTTAAATATAAATCATTTTATTTTATTGATTGATTTTTTTTCTTTTTCTGGCAGATTATTTAAAACGCAGTAATAAATAAATGTTTCAATAGAATTATATTGGTTAAAATAATAATATTTACATACAATGCTTATATTATTGTAAAAGTTCAATTTTAAATTGATTCCTTCAAAATGTACTAATCTGGTTCAACCTGGTGGCATTTATTTTTAGACAAAAAAAAATGTATTACAGCGTTTACAGAATTCTGTACAATTAATGTAACAAAATCAAGAAATAAAATTAAAAAATGTTATTGGTTTGCTTCTAAACTTTCAAAAGATTGAGAATTCTTTTAGAATGTTAATTTTGTTTTTCAGCAGATCAACTTCACAAACATTATTCACGTACATACAATTTTTTTTTAATAATCACAATCCATATTATTTGTTCATAAAACAAAATATATGAATTAATTCTATTAAACAGAAAAATGAATTAATTCTATTAAACTATTATAAGCACTATTTATAAATATTTTAACTATTATTATTTAATTTAAAAATTTTATTATTACTGTATTTGATTTATCAAGAATAATCTAATAATTTAAGAAACATAAATAAAATAAAATGTATTTAAACTATTTGTAAACAGAAAAAATATTTATGAGGAGAAATAAAACAGTCCACTACACAATTTAAACCTCCAAAGTCTTGATGTTGAATAGGTTCCCTGCGACTAGACCACTGTGCCCTTTATTGAGGCAATAATTTAACTAGTATATTAAATATGATTGAATTTTCCAATGTGAGCGCACTCCTCTATTTTAAGGGGTGAATATCCTTAAGGTACACTACTAAGGTACCAAGTTTTATCCCAAAGTGAATTTCTTAAGTCTTGCTTTCTCCTTGTAAAAACATTTATATCTTATGCTCTGCAAAGTTCACAAGAAATATATGTACTGCAGGCTTATATTTTCTAATCAAAAAGTCTAAATGATACACAGCAGATAGTGTTTATGGTTACAAATAAAATATCAACTTCATATTCTTTATTGAATTTCTCAACTAGAGGCAAAAATATTACCTCAGGTACAAAATACAGCGCACAAAAAGAAACTAATCAACCAGAATGACTTTTGATCTAATAATATTAGATTTTCACGTACTAGGACCTAATCTTAATATTTCGAGCGGGTGATCTCAAATATACTAATTAGTTTGTGTAGACAATTATTTTAAATTACAAAATCAGACACAAAAACATATTTTCTCTACATAAGCTCACTTTTTTTGATAGATTTGGATTCTTTAGCACTAAAATATAGAGTTAACAGCATTAATATGACCCCGTGTATTTTGGTCACGAAAGCAGTCCAAATTTTGGTCCCCTAATTTTGTAAACGAATTAAAACTTTTTTGCTCAGAATTGTAAAATTAGTTTACCAAAAAATAATTCCATGCAAAAATTTATTTATTTTTTACATGATTTTATTTACAGTCAAAAAAGTTTTGTATAGTAATTTATTCATTTTTTTAAAGAATGTAATTTTATAAGATAAAATACAAATACTAAATGATATTGGTCGAATAGTTCTTAAGAAATAGATATTTAAAGTCCTATATTTAAAATTAAATAAAATTAAATAAAAAATTAATAAATGAATAAAATAAAAAGGACTGCTATGATTTTTTAGAAAGTTTTGCTTTTTTAGAAAGTTATATATTAGTTATTTAATCTTAGAGACATNTTAAAGTCCTACATTTAAAATTAAATTAAATTAAATAAAAAATTAATAAATGAATAAAATAAAAAGGACTGCTATGATTTTTTTAGAAATTTTTGCTTTTTTAGAAAGTTATATATTAGTTATTTAATCTTAGAGACATAGCTATTATCTTACATAAAACTTATTTTTATATCATGTGAAGTATTTTAAGTTAATATACTGTGTCACTAAATTAATAATCTTGACAAACTAAAACAGAAAGATAAAAACTTTGTTAACTTCAAAAAATATGAAAATGTAATTAGAACTTGACATGTTTTGAGCTCTAAAAAGAAGCAAATACTTAGGGTGGTCAAAAATAGGCATAAATTTTTAAGACTTGGCAGACGTGAAATGAGGAAAACTAAAGTAATTTGAAACAAATGTATAGTTATCAAAGAAAAATGGAAAAATAAGTGAAATATTAAGCTATAGATACCATGGTAGTCAATAGTGAAACAGAAATGAATTCTTTGGCTATGCAACCTTGGCTATATTGGATAAATTGGACATCTTTTAATAATTTAGACCAGTGTTTCCTAAAGTGTGGTAGGCGTACCCCCAGGGGTACGGGAACAGTTTAGAGGAGGTACGCGTTCTTATGCAAAATATCTTGCAACATACGAAAATTTCAAAACATTTAATTTTAAAACAAAGCTAGCCATGAAAATTTACGATAACATAATATTCTATTGCCAATTTTTTGCAGAGTTAACAGTTAATAATTACTGGTGTCAGCAGCCAGTTGTGATTTTTAATATTTGTGCAATTTTTTTATGGTAAAAAATACTTTCATTATTTTTATTAGTGGTACACAACGTTACGGAAAATTTAGAAAGGGTACACAAAAGTCTCACTGATTTAGACTAAAGGATCATGGTAGATAGGTCCTTTATCAAGAATGTAAATCTATTGCTGCACATTCTTTGAATTTTGGGGATAAGTTCAGTCTCAATAGCAATTAAGCAAAGAAATTATAGTAGCACTATTCGGTGATAAATATAGCTCATCGTAATTGATGAACATGTTGAGCGACGTTTTACAAAAATCCGCTTCAGAATGTATAAAAACATTAGAATGCTATTTGCATATTATCTTTATCAATAGAAAGCCATGTAACTCACATATTTGGTAGAATGAAATGATTTTTTAAAAAGTGAATCATACAATATTCTTAAACGTACATATTTCAATGCCACGTAGCATTCACAAATTTCTTCAATTATAAAAAAAAAAATATTGTAAATTATATAAAAACTTATGAATGTGCATTATAATCTTTTCCAGATATTTTCCCTTTTTTTACGGGGTCTTTTTCGTGATTTGTCCTACAACTCTATATAAAATTAAAATAATGAATGCAAATTTGGTTTTAGTATAAAATCTTCATATTTAAAAAAGGCACAAACAACTTAAATACAAATAAAGCTTTATAAAAGTTCATGTGTTCAAATACAAAAATATTAGAAAATTATGAATAATTTACATATCGATTCAAATTTTAATTTCAAAAGATATTAAACAAAAGCAATCTTTTCTTTTTTGGGCAGAAATCAACCCAAAAAAAATTTGTTGCCAAGAATCTTCAAGATATTATTCTATTAACCATTAAAAATAAAAGCCTTTCTGACCCGAGCTAACACAAAAACGATGTGACTTCAATTTTTATTTTCTTTTTGTTTTCTTCTCTCAGCTTAGTTGCTTAGCAACGGAGAAATAAAATTATTTCTCTCCTTCTTAATCTCCTTTTAGACAATGCCAAATATATATAGCTTCCTAGCACCCTAACATTTTTCGAAATTTTGTCTGTCCTCCCTCTCCTATTTTGAGGGTCAGGAATCAAAAATCATGTGTTTATTCGGAGAAAGTGCGTTTTTGTGTTTGATTTTGTAACTTAATTAATTAGCATATTTGAAGTTACCCCTTGGAACCACTAAGATTGATCTGATCATTAGAACCTAAATAATTCAAGGTGATATCTTTTTTATTTTGTACACTGTACATGCAAACTAACACTAACTTTATCCCCTTGCCTGAAGAGTAATTGATAGTTATAGTAATTCTATTTTATGTGCAAATAAATTACAAATTTACAGAATTTTAAGCCTCTCTTAAATGCAATTTTTGTGTATATATTTTAATAAAATTAAATTTTAACTATCTAAGATATCAACATATTTTATATATATATATAATCTGCCTTTCTAGTTATGTTAATTTTATTGATTAGTCTATTTTTAAGTCGGAAAAATCATACATAAAATTAATGATTCCAATTTTTATAAGCACTGTGTATAATAAAAGAGAAATGCAAAAAAAATTTATGAATGAAAAAATTTTTATTTTAAAAAAAATGTAAAATACATCTAGATTATCTCTTTACTTATAACATGTTTTTCAACCCAAATGTCTTGAATGAATCAATAAATCAATAACTAATTACAATTTTAAGCATACAATCTGAAAACTGGATTAATATTCATTCACATTGAATAATAATCAATAATTTTGTAAAATAAGTAAGATTATAAAATAATTAATTTTATACAATATTTTCAAACATTTCTACATTCTGTAACAATAATTTGACAGTATTTTAATGCATTACAAATTCTGTGAAAACAAGTTTAGTTTAGTAGTAATAAATTAATATAACTTATAAAAAATTAATACCTGCATTTTTAATTGAATGGAAAATTTATACTTTTATTATAGTTTTAAAAATCTATTGTAAATAATAAAAATAAATTATCAAGTGTAACAAAGAATGAATTAGTACCTATTTTTTGAATACACACATATTTTTTAAATCACATTCTTATTCTCGTTTTAGCTTGAAGAACACGATAAGGCTGGTGACCGTAAATGGCGGACTCCAGAAGAAATGACTGAAGAAGCTGATAAACTGAGAAAATATTTTTAAAATATAAGATATATTAGTTTTTTAACTTATATTTTCTTTTGTAAATTTAAATAGAAGTTATTTCCTCTTTTTATAAAAAAAATGTGTTGTAGAAGTTATGAATGATTCTTGGTATTCAGTATTCATGAATGATATAAATGCTAAGTGTAAATATTTTGGATTTGTAGATGATTATTTTCAACTAAATAGGAGTTTAAATTGTATATTTTTATGTATCAGAAATAAATTCGCTAAAATAAATCAGTATTTTAGATAAAATATTTGTGAAGTAAGTCATTATTAATTGTACTGATACAATTTTTACTGGGGGGGGGGTGAAGCTAAATTGTTTTCCAGAAATACACAAGGACAAGTTCTCAAATCTTCAATTAAAAGCTATATCTGTTTAAAAAAAAGTTTGTGTGAAGTCTAGAAAAAATACATGGCGAGAACCTCAAGAAAATTTGTTTGAGGTTTTTAGATTACCAATTTTAAGAATATATTCAAGGGAAAGGTTGGATGTCAAAGTTACAACCATTTACCAAAATATTATAAAAGTATTGTTAAAAACTTATACCAATGGAATCAAAAGTACACCCAATTACATAAATTAATTTTATTCTGTTACGAAATAAAAGTTTAACAATAATGACATTTACAAAGCCTAGTTATGATTTATTTATCGTGATTACGTGCAGTGCAACTTACTAAATTTTGGCAAATGAAATGCTATTGCTTACTCAATTTGGAATGTGTAAATTAAAAATGCATAAAATTTAAAGGAGATTAAAAACTCTCATTTTAATAATCTCATATCTCAAGAAATTTTAATAAATAATGCTATTTTTATAACTGTTGCAAGTTTGTAACATGACTTATGTTTTGTTTATTTAGGCTAACGCTCTTAATGTTTTTCATGAAAGTGAAGCAAAACGCCAACATGGATAAAAACTAGTTTTGTGAAAAGGAAAAGCAATTGTGACTTAATATTTAAAAAGTTAATCCAATGCTGCATTATTTAATCTCATAAACACTTGTAAAAATTGACAATTATTGGTTTCAATGTTCTTCACCTTGAGGAAAAGTAATGGTTAATTGGCAAACTTTAAAGCGCAGAAAAATTTGATGAATATGATATATTGTGCTTAAATATAAAGGCTTGAATTTATATATTTGCATATTGCAGCTATTTTATTTTAATCACTATTACTTTTTTTAGTGAAAGAACTCCAAAGAATGCCCCTAAACAGAAATGTCTGCATTATATTATGCCAATTGTGTAAAATCACAAACAGTGCATTTTTAAATTATGGAAACTAAAGTTATTCATCCATTGTTACATTCAATTGGATATTAGTAGGAAAAGGTGATTCTGATGTCTTGTTTCTATTTGGTAGTTGTATCATAAGAGGAGTATGAGTGAGTTTTTTTACTTCAAGTCTTTCATCCCTTAGTAATGTTTGCATAACTATTTTTTTAGATAATTTTGGCTGTGAGTATTTAAATTTTTTCAGATTGGCATTTCTTTCCTCTGCAGATGGGAACCTAAATCTTTTTACGCACTTCTTATTTACTGATTCTCCATTTGTAAAATTCTTTGGTTTTACAACATACACAGCATTAATAGGTATTGAAGATGAATCCTTTGTCTTTGAGGGATCATCCTTGTTGAGTTTGATGATTTTATGACACAAATTCAAGTGTTTTGTCAGTGAATTTAAGGTATAATCAGTCAGGTCGGTATTCTTCACTATCTCATGAATTTCAGAGAGTTTTTTCAAAGCAGCTTGCTTTGATTCCCTTTCGTCTAAATTACTTATAGAAACCTGTGTTTCAAACTGTGGCGAATTTTCTAAACTAGATAAATTATGAGATGAATCAGATTTTTTTACTGATGCAATTTTTTGTGAAGTATTAAAGGAAGTATTTTTAACCCGAGTTAAACTATCCATACACTTCTTTAAGGATTCAAAGTCAGCAAGCGATATTTCCTTTTTATTATTCTTTGGTTCACATAGAGAGGGAGATGGTGGTTTAGAAGAATTTTTCTTCAAAAACTTAAACGCAACAGCATGGATATGCCTGCAAAGATTTGAATTAACCATGTTGTTCACACAACTGCAGGAAAACATGTGGATACAAATGTTGCATTCCTTACACTTCAAAACACAATGATCGGGACAAGTTTCAGTTTCTTGAGTCACAAATTCTTTCTCGCCATCTTCATTCTGAACGCTCCATAATTTTTCACACATAAAAGTTATATGCTCTTCCGGTATAGTCACGCAACTCTCGTGGTATAAATTTATGGCATCAAGAGCTAAATTTATTTTGTCATCATCAAACGAATCCAGAATACGATCCATCATCTTATTTCGTAAGATCTTCATCAAGACTTGGATCAGCCTGAACATACTCCTTTGTTTTGTAGCTCTGGAGCAAGCAACATCGATAGCGTAGTGCATAGATTCCAAGTGGAGGCTGGTCATACAACTGACGTCCTTTCGGCAGTAAGTAGCCCACTTATCAAAGTTGGATGGAAATCTTTGTTCAAACCAGACCTTGAACTTTTCAAAGATTACATTGTTATGAAGCTTTTTCACCAAGTTTTCAAACATACAAGTAAAGACATCTTCACTCTTACAGTCCATAATAATTTTCATGGTATCAAATACTTCACATCTTTCTTCATGTTTAATGGCATATCTTATAAGCTGATTACTGATTAATTTTCTAGTGCTCCAGTAGCTCCAAAGCCAATGTGGACTATCACCCATCACATCAACCCATGCTTCATAAATACTAAGCTTCATGTTTGAAATTAAATACTTAGGTCTAAGTTTACCAGTATGCTCTTTTATGGAACTGAAAAACTGGGCTACGGTATACTTGCTAAAACTATTACAAAGGCAATATGCAACTGGAAAAGCACGATGTAATTCATCCATTACATACATAACAATAAAGGACCTTTTAGAAATACTGCATACATCTACACAAATAAGGTCCTTGAAGTTTGATAACAGTATTTGTTTTTGAAATTCTGTCATTATTACTAAAATAAACTTTTCTTTCTCACATTCTATATTTTCCAGCTGGCAAAGTAGAATAGGAGATTCTTCCATACTACAACATTTTTGAACCCATTGAGAAATGCATTCAGCATCACTGAAAAAGCTTGTGTGAAAACTAGGAGCTGAAAAAACTTGTTTTACCCACTTTAAATATCGTTTTCTCAAAGGAAATGTTTGAGTATTGTCCATTATTTCACCTCCTTTAAGTTCCTTCATCAGCTTTTCAAAAGAATAACCTTTCAACACTAGTTCTGAAAAAGAAAAGAATATTGAGTGAAATTAAATAACTTAACAATAATTACCATACGCAACAGTCTAAAAATAAAACTGAGTTAATTTATTTTAATAATACTTATTACATATTTATAAGATAGTTGGTTGGCTAAAAAAAAGGAACACTCTGAATAACTTTTGACTGGATCTTCACGTTCTAGGACTCAATCTTAAATGGTTCTAGGGGGTGACCTCAAGTATGGTAATTAATTGGTGTAGACGATATTTTCCAAGATAAATCCATGCAAAAAATAAATTTTAGTAATTATTTATTATTTTTTTAGAAATAGTCAAAAAAATTTTGAATTGTATACAATTTTTTACATCATTTTAAAATATCTAATTTTACATTACAAAATTTGAGGGAATATGGTAGAATAGTTCCAGAGAAATCGAATTTTGAAAAAGTCATAATTAAAATTCGATTTCTAAGGAACTATTCAATTAATTTCGCTTAAATTTTGTATTTTGCCATACAAAATTAGACACTTTAAAATGATTTAAATATGTTACAATTCAAAAATTTTACGACTGTTATTAAATAAAAGAATAAATAGTAAATATTAACTCATTTTTTTTACATGGAATTATCTTTGGATAAACAAATTTTATAATTGTGTGCAAAGATTTTTCAATTCGCTTTAAAAACTCTAGAGATATGGCAAAAAATAAACATTAGGGGTTCCAAACTTTTGATTGCTCACCTGATCAAACTATGGGGACCATATTTCCCAGATTGGAACTACCCCCTATATTTTGGGGGTCAAAAATCTAAATCCGCTGGAAGAAAGGTATGTTTATTTGGAGAACGTATGTTCTTGTGTCTGATTTCATAACGTAAAATATCGCCTGCACTGAATAATTAGTATATTTTAGGTCACCCCCTCGAACCATCAAGATGGAGTCCTAGAGCGTGAAGACAGATCGTTAGATCAAAAGTTATTCAGGGTGGTCCATTTTTTGACACACTTCCCTCTTTTTTTACTTTATAAGCTTAATACGACTTATAATAAAAAGTCAGTTATTATGCCAAGTTTTTAAGTCACCATCGAAAGGTGGGTATTAAAAATATAAAAAAAATAAAGTTATTTTCATTTGTTTTTTTAACAAATGTCTTTACGACAAAACTAATTTTGAAAAGTATTTGATACCATGTAACTGTTTTATTTTACTTGCCATATTGTGAACAAAAATAACTTATTTCTTTAAATAACTGTGTATTCTAATTAGCTATATGAATTCATATCAGCAACAAAAACAGTTATAAGTATTACATTTATTTTCTGATAATTTTTTTATTATGGCAAAAATAAGGCATTTTTACTCTAAGTTTGTTTTGTTTTTTTTTCTGAAGAAGGTATAAAACTGCAAAGAATATTTTACAAGGGATAAATGGAAAAAAGAAACCCTGTATTTTTAGATATACTGTTAAGAATCACTTACTGTCACCCATCCTTCTTTTATTTCATGACGAAATCAGAAAGAGATACTATTTGCAAAGAGTAATACACAATACAAAAGAGAAAAAAAACTCCCCATCTACATAAAAAGCGGTAAAACCAGCTCTTCAAATAGTTTATAATCTCTCTTGAATTTTTAGAGTCATTTATAAGAAAGACGACGAAATAAAAAATCTGAAAAAACCAGGCAAATGAATGGATTTGTATAAGAAAAGTCCTCTTTCACGGCATCCAAACAGTGTTCGGGTTAGAGTATTTGTTTGTTTTTTTAAGAACTAAGTATATATCACATATGTTGATACTAACCCACCTCTAATACTTACTGTGTTGTAAATTATAATACAATAAAAAGTTGTCTTATATAGTGAGGATAATCAGAAATGCACAGCTCTAACTTATTCAACTAAAACTATTAGTTACCTTTCACATGAAATAATATCCACTTGAATTTACATAAAAACTTAAATTAAATATGGATTTAAATTTTTATTATTTTACATCCTTCTAATATATATGTATGTATTATTTATACATATATATAAATTAAATGTTTTTATTTGCCCCTTAACTTGACCATGTTCTTCTTTTCAAGGGATTCTTCTAACTAAAGAGGTTGCCTCAATCCTTGCTCTCTATTATAAAAATAACTTTAAAAAGTGAAAAATCAACCAGAAATCAGCTGATATTTACAATTTAAAATTTGTAATTAAAACCATAATACAAATAATGTTGTTATACATCTTTAATTTCAACTTCAAAACTCACCATCCACAGCAGCTTTTTCAGCGGGAAATACTTGTGCAATCCCTATTCCTCCTCCATGTCCATAATGAGTAGAATGGTATGTCACCAAGACTCCTTTTGGAGAAACCTCGGCAAAAATTTCCGATGGACAAGATATGCCCATTTTTATAGAACGACCAATGCCTCGCATTCTGTGGTATTCAGTTTTCCTATGTTTTTCACTCGAATATTTCATTCCAGACCGTGAACAGTAGTATCTAAGTCCATTTGTCTCTTTTAATTTACTTGCAGGAAAGTAAGAACACAAACTTTCTCTTTCGGTATTGCACTTCCAGGTTAAGAAAGCTAAAAAGTAACAAATAGGAAATTAAGAAATAATAATTTTCTACGAGTTATTTTCACAATAATTTTCTACAAGCTTTTTTTAAAACTTAATTTAGTGCACTATAAAATTACTTCATTAAAACAAGGTTTTCTTAATATAATTGTTTTTTAAAACCGTCAAAGGTAGATACTGCAAACTTGGACAAATCTAGATTTCCTAATCCATTTCTTTTGATAAAGAAAAAAAAAACTTTAAGTTGAATACATTTCTAGGTACTCCTTGATTTCAAAAGCATCATTTGTGTCATCATCAACAAAAAAAAAATTTTTTTTTTCATCTTATTTCTGAAGAGTTTAAAATGTTTTCTTGAATTTTAATTTTTACAGACTACTTTGAATTATTTACGAATCATTTCTTGAATCTATAGTTAGAAAGAGATTGCCATGCAATGTAGATTTTGCTTGAATCATCCATTTTTAAAAAGGTAGAGAGAAAAGGGGAGCGTATATGGACAATTTAACTTTCTCTAAGTTAAAAAAATGCAAAAATTATGAAATAATATATTAAGTTAACAACACTATGTGCTTAGGAGATAGAGCGCTTGCTACCAATGAGGTGACAGTTTTTTGAATCCCAGCGATGGCTGGTCGACACGAATTCAGTATCCGGTTCGCATTGACCACAGTTCTTACATAAATATATCCTCATTTGTTGATGGATTATGGGTTAAAGTCCCCTTACCCTCCAGCTAACCGTAGGGGTTTTTCCTTTCCATATAACGCAAACACAGGTTAGTTTCATCAAAAAGTACTCCACAAAGGCAAATTTCCCTCAATATTTGATTAAGAAGTTCCCTTGTCTTTTGGATTGAGTTCAAAATTACATGGCTACGGAGTTGAACATTCATAGCCATAAAATCAAAATTAGGTGGGCTATCCATTGACAGTTATAAAGTAAAATATGTTTCACAAACTCAACATATTTTATTTTATAGATTTCTTTGAACAGCCGACCCAATTTTAAGTTTATGACTACCAATGTTCAATTCTGTAGCTCAGTAATTTTGTAACCAAACCAGAAGACAATCGAACTCCTAGATCAAGTATTAGGAAGAATTCGCTTTCTTTATGATAGAACTAACCTGTATTTGGGTGATGCATGGAGAAGAAAACTTAAAGAACATCCCACTATTTTTTTTATAAAACTTTTATCATAATTTAGGTTTACACCAGATTTCATATCTTAGTGGTTCTCACTAAGATTTTCATTTAGTTGTACAAACATATAACATGATAAACAAATATAAAAAAGATGAAGTTATACAAACATCCAAGTTACATGCATATTTTAGGATGCATATCAACTATTGTTAACATGTATGCAAAAAACAACAGGCTATTTGAAATGTTATGAAAGTCAGTTGGTTTTCAAAATTCAATTTTTTTTATAGTATATTAATGATCTGTTATTCTCGAATTAAGTATTTGAGTATAATAAATCATATTTTCTGCTGAACTCATTTCCCTAGTAACAGACTCAATTTTTTTCGATCTTGTTTTCAGAAGTTATTATAGATTGTAAAACGGTCTTTCAAATCCTTATGATTTTAAAAGACATTATATTAATGCAATTGATTATTTTACATGGTAAATAATGCTAATTATTTTACATGGCATTAAAAACATGATATTTTTAATACAATATTATTTTGAAGAGCTAAATTTCTAATGATTCTAATATAAATTTACATGCTTTAACTGCTTGCTTTTTTGGTAGTTATCGACAACCTGATTTATATGGTTTATGAAATCTAAATTTTTTTACATTTAATATTTGTGATAGAGTGTAAATTGAAATAGAGTAATTACTTAATGACCTGCTCAATCTGTGATGATTCTACTGTAAACCCACAAGGTTTATTCCAGTTTTTTCTTCTTCTTGGCAATACAACAACAAGCTTTGGCAAGATTACCACATGAATTTTAAAATCATGATTATTTTTTAAAACACTAATAAAGATAACACTTATATTTAATCCTGCACATAGAGGACAAATTAATTATCCATGCAATAAAGGTATGAACAATACTTAAAATTAATGTTAGATACTATAAAGCTATTTGTCCTTCGAAGCTATAAGCATCATTATGTACTGGTCCCTAATCAATAAGACTGGTTCACTAGAAATTTAATGTTTAGTACAATTCTACATTAATTTAATTCATTTTCATGCTTCATAATAATATGTTGTTAATTTGTTTGTAATAAAACTTGATTATCATAAATTAATTCAGATATTAATGAAATTCTAAATTGGTCTTATATAAAAAAAAATTTAAGGGAAAAGAATATTTTAGTTATGTTACAATTTTCAAAAAAAAAAAATTTGATCGCCGAAAGGCGTTTACAGGTTACCCATCGGAAGAATGTTTGTTGTCTAATTCTTTTTTTTCCAGTTTGAACTGAAGGTTAGAACTTCTGATTCTTAATTAAAACAATAAAAACAAAAATATCATTCAAATTATGAAATTCACAACTCAAGAAGTATTTATGGGATCTCTCTGGTCCCATATCTCAAAAATAAACTCTCCAACTTAATGCATAAGAAAATTAAAAGTGAAAAAAAGAATTCTAAAAAAAAATTATCAAACAGCAACAGTCGACATAGCGACGCATGCAATAAGGACTCATGTACACTGTTTACTATTACTCTTGAACACGGTTGAAAAATGTGATGACATCCAAATAAGGTGTGCATGCAATCAAACTCATTTTGCCAATGGGTAATAAATGCACAAAATTGCTGTTATTATCCAAATAAAATTCAGAAAAATAAACATCTGTATTAAATAATAATGCAATTGTTATTTTCTGCATCAAACTCTAGCCATTCGTAATTTGTCAGCCACTGATTCTAAAATACACAAGCTAACTTACTTTTCTCATACTGGATATCCCTTTATTATTTCACTGTATCATACACTTTTATTTATTTATTTATCATTTTTTTAAAGGTGCTCTTATTTCTTAAAATGTTGAATCAACAAGGGCGCCGACAAAAGGGTTGCGAACTTGCACCCCCTGGCTTTTTTTAAAAAACTATTAAAGAGATACAGAAAAACAATTTTATTTTAAAATTTTTTGTTAAACATATTTTTATAGAAAAACAAATAATTAAGTAATTATTGATACAAAACATTTAAAAAATTCTTTGATCAAACAAGAACTGTAATCGTCTTGTTTGCTGTCCAAAACTGTTTATAACTTTTTCAATGAATTCTGAGTCATCTTTGATTCTTTTCTTATGCACACTGAGTAGGCACAAACTTGGTAAATATATAAGCTATATTTTTAAATTTCATTTTATAAAATAAAAGTGATATTATATTTTCAATTATTTATTTAGTTTAACAAGGGTGTATAACACAAACTGACTTCTCACAATTGTAAAACTTCATCAACACAATAAATACAAACATGTTAGTATATGAAACTACTGTTTGTAGTTATTTGTGTTTCAAAGTCAGTAACTAAGTTATGCCAGCGCCATCAATGCAGTTTCTCGTGGCAAAATTTGCAAGTACAAGAAATTCTTACTTTTTGTAAAATATCTTGCTAACAACGAAAAAATTAACAGATGAAAGTATATGTAATAACAAAACAAAATGTAATAACAGAATATTTTAAGAAAAAAAAATGGAGGGGGGGAGTTTGTTAGAGGGTTGCACCCCCTTTTATATTATTCTGCCGACGCCCTTGTGTATCAATAAATAATTCTATAAAAACACAAATCTCAAAAATGAAAAAAAACTCAAACATGTTACAAAAGAACTACATAAAATTATTACATAGAATATTATATTACACCCTAACCTTTATCATACCATTCTAGCACAGCATACCTTTTAGGTACGACATTACTTCATATGTGTTGGTGGTCCCATGGATTAGTGGTATTATTCAATAGTGGTCTAGGACTTGTAAACCACCAATGATTTCGAACACTGAAAATGTTAACAGATATTGCATAAAGATCATTTTATGACTGAAACTGTAGAGGAACGTAGAAACTTAAAAATATAAACATATTTATTATTATTACCTAAAATTAAATAAAAATATTTCAAAATTATATTTTTATTTAATTTTAATATTTTATATTTTTATTTAATTTTAATATTTTTATTTCATCTTAATATTTTTATTTAGTTTTAATATTTCAAAAAGCACTTACTTTTTGGTGCCAAGAGGATGACTCAGTAAATTTTTTTTCCTCCATGATAATATGAACATAAATAATTTAATTAAAAGATAAAATTAGTTTGCCAACCTTTATCGCCAAACTGGCTTAATTCATCAGGCATTGGGGAAAAAAGACATCACTGTAACACAATGATACTACAGCAATAGAATCATGTTTATTATAAGGTTAGATTCTTTCATAGATCCTGCACTGAATTTGGCATAAGTTTTCCACAGCTAAGATTTAGTACAGAGACAAATATTTAAAATTTTTTTTAGTTTCTCGTATATTTATGTTTATTGACAAGCTCATAAAGGTAATTTAGTAAAAACTTTCAGGTAAGAGATAAATCACTATATTTTTCTTTTAAAAATTAATAATAGCATATGCAGGGGTGATTGTGATCCCAAGTCAAAATTCCAGAAAATTTCTTCAGTTAAAAAAAAAAAAAAAGTTTAAATTGAAAAATTAGAAAATAAATTTAAGCAAGGTTTTCTTCCTGCTTCTCAATTTTTTTTAGCTTACTTAAAATTTTCCACATACCTATGATGACCTGGAGAAGTAATTGAAATTTACAAATAATATGTCTTTCTTTCTTGAGTTTATGATTATAACAACTATTTACTGATAAAAAAATGAATATTAATCTTGCATATAAGCTTATAAAGTATCTCTCTGGCTCTCCCTTACAAACAAATAAAATAAACTGTGTTTTTAAGTTCCACCTTTGAAAATTTGATTTACGGAAACTTCTGTGATCATTGATTTTTTTAGACATCTGGACTTTCGATCTCTGGAAACTTCCAGATCACTGTTAGCGAAAAATTCGGAAAACCGGATTTTTTCTGGAGCACAATCAGCCCAGCATATTTTAGTTAGATCCAATACTAAAATATACCCTATAACATTAAGTATTAAAAAGAACAATAAATCTCAGCTAGGAAAAACCACTGCAGATGAGCTACCACCTATGTAATGCAGTCTAATAAAAAAAAATTAACACTGAAGAATTATTTAAAATGTTTTGCAAAGTTTTAGCTATCAGTACTGGCTCCAAAAGATCACAAAAATAAGAGAACAGTCAGAGAGTGGCACAAAAGTAACTAAAAATAAACCATAATTTGTGTTAATTTTAACTTACCATCCTCTGTTGAAAAATACAACATCTCAGGTTTTGTATTAAGATTGTGAACTTCCTGAAGATGATCTCTTAAGTTACTCCTTAACTTGAAATCTAAATTACAATCCAAACATTTAATACGATTGTTTGAAGGGGAAACAATGGAATGTACTGTCTTTAGATGTTTTAGTCTCGTTTTTCTGTTATTAAATATTCTACTACAAATATGACAATATTCAATCTTCAAACTTTTTGCCATTTCATTTTGTTCCTGCAACAATACCTGACTTTCGGAAAACTTAGGGTGTTCTCTCTTATCATCAGCTATATCATAATCAATAACAATACGAGTTAAATTTTCATTCTGAACTTTAATAACAGTACTATTAATTTGTAAGTTACTTTCTGTACAAGGGGACTCTGAAAAATTTAAATTTTCATTGTTATTTATAATTTCTGAAACTGCATTGTGTGCTTTTCTTTGATGATCGCATAAACTTACAAAATTATTAAAATATTTGTCACATTTATCACACGAATATTTTTGAACAAGTAAAGTAACAGAAGAGTTATCAAAAGCTGTTTCACTGTCTGATACACTGGTTTCAATTTTAGTATCAACATCATGTGAAGGCATTTCAACACTCAAATAATTTTCAGTTTTATTTTCACAATTATCTGAAGTCTTTACAAATTTTTTAAGAATGCTTCTCATTCGAAGTAATTTATCTGATATTAGTCCAATAGTTTCTCCATATTGAGAGCTAGATTGGGCGTTTTCATGACTATGTGGAATTGTATTAACATTTTCAGAAACATCTTGTTTCTCACTCAAGCTGGAATATTCAATAGGACCAAGTAATAGTTCTGCTTCATTTTGGGACAAAATTAACTGCCCTGAATTTTGATCTACATCAATTTGAACACATTCATCATGCTTTAATTCTGCTTGATTTGCACTCGGTTCTTCGACGGTATGCACTTCAATACATTCAGCTGCCAAACGAGTTTCGTTATCGTCGGGAGAACCAAAAAAATAGACATTTTCAAAAGTTTCAGAGTTAGCCATTGAATCATATATCTCTAGCAATTTAAGCTAACATAAGTATTAAAGCTACTTAAACAATTTAGAAAAAAAAGTGATGCACGGATTATTTGGAAGTAGGAAAAGTAGTAGCATGACGATCCGTTTTGGAGCTCAATACTTTCATAAATGCGCTTTGAAAATAGAGAAATATTAAAAAAAGTTGATACCATATATCAATTTTAAGATTTTCAGTAATGCACATTAATTAGCTTGTAGCTTATACAATCCATCTAATAACTAAAACTTCCATTATTGATCAAAACTATTTATAGATGGCGCTGACAATCTTACTTTACTGTGACATTTGTGTTGGATGCGAAGAGATCGCGCGCGAGTTTGGAGAGATGAACGAGATCCTAATTAGCGAATATTTCATTGGAAAATAACGCAAAGTATTATGTACCTGGAAAATATTCTAAAATAATATCCTCCAGTGTCTTTTTACGATTCGCGATCACAACGAACTATAGGAGGCGTTGTTGTATGAGACGCATACCTGCGATTTCTATATGAACCGTCATTCAGTTACTCTGGAGACGTCTTTAATGTAGCGTGTAGCATTGTAACGTTCCTTCTTTGATGTGGCTTATTAAATTTATAAAAGAAAAATGTTTGATATCCTTTCTTATACAACCGAAAACAAGATGGTATCTCTTTTTTTTTTTTAGAGAAGGAACATCCAAAACACATCCGAAAAATATTTGTAAATAAACAGAAGAAAATATGTATCTTCTTATTAGAGTTAAAACCTAATGCCTGAGAAATAGTTTTACTAAATTTAATGATATAACCTGAAAGGCCTATTTAAACTTTACATTCCATAGTTTTAAGAATCATATTACTTCAAACATTAAAATAAGCAAAAAGTATACATAAGCTTCATAATTTT